CTGCCGCCTTCCCCTCAGAACAAGACCAGACTTAGAGTAAGAATGGTAGAAAGAGATGGGTTTGAGACTCTCAGATCCAAGGAGGGTGCTCTCAGTCTCACTAGAGAGGGCCTCGTAACCTTCAACGCCTGAGGGCCCCGCAATGGCAGCCAATGTGTCAGCTTGGTCAACTCTCTGCAGTCAATCGTCGACGTCCACTCCCTACCGACCTCTCGAATCACAACACTAACCTCCTCTGCCACTATTCCACTGAGCTGCAGCAGCAGCCACCTTTCTCTAAGCCTAGTCACCGTCGCATAGCGGACTGCAGTCAGTCAGCCACGTTCTCAGCGGTACTCAAATGGTATGCAACAGTCAACAGGGACAGACGCCCGCGCACGGTCCTCAGTCGCAGCAGCGGTACACCGTGGTAGCCCGCAGCAGATCGCCGCGGCGTGCAGCGACTGGCATACAGTCACAGCAGCAACCTTCCCATGGTGTATATCAGCAACCTTCCCCTCCGCATGCGACGGTAGCSCCGACGCCCAAACAACCGCCACCAGGTCCACTCGAAGTCAGGATTATCGGTTGTTGACTTTCTGATAACGTTCCGATTCCCAGCAATAATCCCAAATTTTTCGGCAGGCTCGAGATTTGAGATGTCCCGACYGCAACCTAACAMACGGGCAGTGGATCAGAAACACAKCCTCCTCCCKCTAAACGTAGTGAAGMAGTATCTACCTTAGTCAACARCAARTCGCAGTTTGTAGCTACTCCTATGAACAGTATTGCGGACTGCTTCCGTATCGCAGTAGCCCCGTRATTCTGAGTAGAATGTTTGACAACTACCTAATTAAAAAAAAAAAAATTGTAGTTCGAGAGAACGCCAGTACTTAACTCCGAGCAATCACTAGAGTTGTGACTCAGAGATCGATCACAGGGGGCAGCACCAAGATCGCAGTTGTCCAAGGCTACAAGGTGTACTGTGTTTTCCCTTGAGCACACTTTGTAGCAACCGGTCCCCTCACTCCACTCAGTCCTGGCACAGAGACATGGGAGTGGCAATTTCGCCTGATATGCTGTCCGACAAAGTACTCACCAGAACCGAGTAGGGTCTATTAGAGGTATATAGGCCAAGACACAACCAAACCCGCCCTGTTATACCTTCGTCCCCAACTGCTTTAACCGCAGTTGATCAAATAGCCCGTCAGTTAGTTGTTAAGGCCATATCCCGCAGCTGGCTTGTTGTCGCTTCGACCAATAGGATGAACAACACACCGGCCATCTGATAGGCTTATAGCCCCAGTGGATGGTTCCCTTCGCACAAGCAAGCTGATAAGATAGGCTGTATTTCGGCCAACAGGCAGATCAATATCCGGCCTCATGGTTCTCCTTGTTACCGCTCTGGCTAACCCGCATCCGCCTTTAAACGTGGGCCAGAATTAGTGCACCGCGATGCCATCCATCCCCATTCCAATGCCGACTGCCATAG